AAGCAATATATAAATACAGAATGCCATGAACAGAGGTCTTAATACACTACTGTATGAAAACCTAAAAGAAACCCCAGGCTTGTTTCATATGGCCATTAGTCAATAGTGCCAAGTTTATTTTGATTTGGTTTGGTCATCCCCCGAGTCTCTCCTGAGACTGCTAGATATTTTTGCATTGGCACAGCAAACTTGGCTTTGTCTTGGTAAACATTACTAATCCAAGCAAAAATTACAAAATATTGAAGTAAATATAATACTGAGTTTAATTGCCTTTTTGTATTTTGTTTCTCTAGCATTTACTCCTTCAAGCTTGTTTACCCAACACAGTGGCAAAAATCAAAACAAATGGACAAACTTAAGATGAGAATTGAAGATAAATAAAGCACAATACTTAGAGGAGAGGTTTTATGAAAATAAGAGACCAAAAATTTTAGTCAGACAGCACTGTGAGACCTGATAACTTGTTCTCACATGGGCTTATATTTAAGCAATTCTGGTATCTCTAGGCAAGTGTCTCAGAAATAGACAGGAAAACATTATTTATTGTTCTACCTACGGATCCACTAAATGTTCCTGGACTGGACCCAGGCCTTTGCCAGAATACTTCAGAATTAAAGAGTACGGAACACACTATTCTCTTTTTACTGACACAGTGCTAATTTTCTGGATTTGTGAAAGCTGTTGGTAGAAATAAAAGCAACTTTTAAATGCTGCATGCATTTAAAAAGTTGTATGGAAATCAAAATGTAATAATGTAACATGAAATTAAGCTGGTTTTATGGCTTGCAGGTAGAGTCTGGCTCAAATTTAATCACAGGCAACTTCTTGCACACTTGCAATCAGTTCCAGCACTTGCTATTAGGAAATTGCAATTATAAAACTTAAAAGTCCTTTTTGATGCTTTAGCTATTTTGTTTGCCTTTGAAAAAATAGTAACTTACCTGCAAAACACCAATTCATAAAAATATGACAGCCACACAGTAGTTATAAGCTGCCATATCTGCACCCATTTGGGGAAATTTTGCTAGTAATTATCTTACATCTCTAAAACAATTACCAATTTAAAAGAAGCTGTATAAGCAGTCAGCACAAAAGGAGGTACAGGCTCAGGCACAGAATTTTCACTATGGACTGCAAAAACTCCTGCTGTTTCACACTTTTTCAAATCAGATCATCTCTTGCTTGAGAGAAAAAACACTCCCTAGACAATGCCATGCTAGAAGCTGGATTCAAGGGTACTTTAAGACTTTTATCAATCATTATCACACAACTTCTGCTTTTATAGAGCTGCACTGAGACAACATTTGGTCTGCTACAGAAAATGATCCCAGGCATTGCATGAAGAGGAAGCATTCACCTGAGACTTAAGTATCTAACACCACTTATATACTTTACTGGCACTTTGTACTTTTCTCTCTGAATGCATTTCTCATTTCAATGCCCCCCTTGTTATCTAGTGTTGCAAGATCAGAACACAAGTTTTCAACAAGCAAACTTAAGTTTAATTTAGCATGCCTATTTTTAGAAAGCCCAATTTAGCATGCCTATTTTTTCATTGTGCATGCATGAGAAGGCCTGTAAATTTAAGGACAAAACATGAAGCATTGATAGTGCTTATCCTTCTCATTCAGCTCTCGTCTGTAAGTGTAGCACAAAGATAACTCAAGCCTTCAGACAGTAGCATCCACCTGGAAAGCTACACAGTCAGCTACAAGCACATCAGCTATTGCTTCATGACTACTTGAAGGCATGATCTTAATTCTTAATCTGAAATAATCCAATTTGGACCTTCTATGGGGCATGTATATGCATGGAATGGCTACTCTGAACTGACTGATACGCCCTTAGATACATACTTGAGACGTGTAGCATCTTAGTTTACCTTGCCAGCTTGTTTCCATAGCCCTGTTCTTTCTTAACCTCTACCAATTACCATATTTAAAATTACCAGCTACAATAGCAGGCTGCTGTTACTCTGCAAAGACAATATTCTATCACTCTAAATGGGATGAGGAAGAGAACATTAATAGACACAACACACAGAGCTAATCTAGACATTTCAAGTCAGCTGCCTAACATTTAGGTAATAATCATATGTTTCATTTGATTTACCCAAATCCATGTTTAATACAAATTCATACTATTTGGGAAATTGTATATGAGAATGAAGTAAAGCAAATGCATGAATTAGATTTGTTAGAAAACAGTGATGTGACAACAGCAAAACCTGGTATACCATTCTGATGTGACCTAGCAAAACCAGTCATGGACTAGCATTTAATTGGGAAGGAAAGGAAAACCACCTCAAACTTATGTATCAGCCCAGTTTGCAAACAGAATCACTACTGAAAACTTAGCTCTATATACTCTCTTCAAATTCAAACATGATGTAACTCCTCAAAAACCAGAAGTGAGGGGATATTTATAAGACAGAGAAGCATCAATTTTTAGCTCCTCAAATTCCCAGTCCGACTCAGAATTGAATATAGATCCAGTGATTTCTTTTGTTTTAGTTTCAGGGAAAATTAATTTAACAGACATAATGGAAACAGCATAGGCTTATCCAGACTGAATCCAATCCTGGATTACTAATCTGCTTTTTGGGATGGAGTGCAGAAATGCTCTACAGGAAGAAAAAGCCCCCAACAAAAACCCACCAGAAATCAGATATTGACCAGACGCAGGATCATTCCAGCCACCCTAGCTGATGTATTTAGGAAGGTAGTAGACAAAAGGCCAGCTATAATCCAAGTCCCCATCATACCAGTATTCCCATAGGCCACACATCTGAACAGGAGTGAAAAAGGGAAGAAAGGAACAGTGCTTTAATAGTCAGCAGTGCTTCTTCTGTACAGATTTTATTCCTGAGAATCATGTAAAATGTGTTTGCAGCTGTAATTGCACAAGAACTGTTGCCACTACAAACTAGACAGTCAAAACTAAACCTCATTTTTGTTCAAGATATCTGTTTCAAAGACAACCCAGCATCTTTACTTGCCAATATAGATGTCATACTTGCATGTTTTTGCATAAGTGAATAACTGAAAGTAGTCATTTCCCTAGTTTTTTTTGTTTCACTTAAATAAGAAGAAACTGCAGCCTAAGGCTCCTTGCAAAGTGCATTTCTGAAAAAGTATATTCAAAGAAAATTAATTTGCTAACTTTCCAAAACTTCTGTGTGAGTCATGACTTATTCATGACAATAAAACAAGTCTTAACTACAAACACATAAACAGCAACTCTTTTAGGAATGCTACTTTCCAGGTTGCAATCAAAATTACAGGAAACAAATCAGCTGAACTCCCCGATGCTGACAAGTGGGTCAAGCTGAGGTGAGCCCTGTTCTCCTCAGCTCAGTTTACAGCTCCCGTCAGCTGACGAAACAAACTTCCTGTTGAACATCTCCCTGCAGCAGAGTCACTATCAAACTGTCAGCCAAGCTAACAGGCAGAGAGACACAAGGATCTGATAAGGCAGTTCTATTTTCCCAGAAATTAAACCAAACAAGCAAAGGTTCTAGCCTATTTGAGCTCTTATTTTCTTAGTAAACAGTTTCTAAATCACAAAATACAATAAACATCTCAGGACTGCTTTTTATAGCTTCCACTGCTTATTTGTGAAAATATTAATACTAATTTAAATGTGTAACACAGTCTGATAGCACACTTAAATCAGCCTGATCTTAATGGTCTCAGCTAATGAAAAAAGCTGCACAATAACCAGTAGTTTGGGGTTTCCTAGGTCAAGGAAAAGCATTTGAAACAACCAATGTTAAATGTGTATGAGTTTAAAAAAGCATGTATGAACAGAAGTGCAAATAGATGAATATGAAGTACCTGGTAAAGAAAGTGTTATACCTGTTAAATTGAACCTCCTACAACAAGTCACATCCTGTACTAATTTAGGGAGACCTAGGAGCTGTAACTGCTCAGAGAGAGCTCCGTTCACTAACAACAACAGAACAGAACGGCAGTTTACAAAGCATAACCATTAGGGTTGAAAGATGTGTTCTGAGATAACTGAAGGGGAAAATTGTGACTCTAAATTTTTGCCCTTAACAAAAATGTATCTTTAGAAAATGAGTTAGATTTTTGAAATCTTCCAAAGGAAATGAGTTTTTAAAAAAAATCCAACCCAAAATGAAATAACTCAGGAAATTTAATTTAAATATTGGAAGTCAGACTAAATGCATTCAATAACGATTTTCCCTTGAGTCACTTTTCATCTGACAGTTGTACACTCAGCATCAAATAATAAAAATTTGCAGAACAATGGCTATGTCCCTGAGAGTGTGCTGAAACAATCTTCCAGCTTTCAAACAAACTTTCTCACGTAGCTTTGCTGAAATGCATACAAATTCTAGTTGCATCTTTTTGAAGGAGAAAATAAGACACACAAATTCATCCTAGGTGTGTAAGGGCAGAAAAATGCCATCGTATCACCTTGCACAGACACCGCCTAGCCAGAGTATAATAGGATTTTTAATCTAGTGTTGTTCTGTTAAAAATCTTGAATTTTATAACTGCAAGCAGCAAAATTAATGGGAGGTTTATTTGTTTGTGTTTTTTTGGTTTTGTGGTTTTGTTGTTGTCGAGGGTTTTTTAAAATATGCATCTGAGCTATTTCTCTAGAACAATGCTAAGAATGCTTATGCTTAATTCTCATAATCTTTCATTTAAGAAAATTGTAGCGATCAAATGTTCCAGAGAAAGCTTTGTCATCTGGCAAGAGGGCTGGATGATGGCATCAGAGATACTCTTTTTTCTTGCTGCTAATGGAAGCCTCTCCACATCCAGCTTAACAGGTGATTGTACCTATCACAAGTTCAAGTCTTTCAAAAGTTATGCAATTTTCCCAACTACATTCTCAAAAGTATTCTGCATAAGGAAGAAGAAAGAGTCAATAAGTAGTTTCACATAACAAAGCTTCTAGCAAGCTTATAAGTACAGACTGTGAAGAGAAACTATTTTTAATATTAAATTCAACCATACAGGCACATAGTCTTCTTTTATACTGTAATTAGTAAGTGCAAAGCATCTTTACCTGACAGAGCATCCTGTGCTTCAAAAAATGTGCTGAGCCCTCCTTTCACATAAGCTAGACTCCCCTCATTTTTCTTATTGGCTTGTTTCTTCAAATTCACAACTGCCGTTTTGAGCTGATCAAAACTGAAAACAAACAAGAAAATCTCCATGACATTCAAACAACGAATTAGGTCACCTAATAAATAAACAAAGTAAACTACTGGAAAATAAAGGCAGTTACTTTTGGAACAACTACTAAGGACCAAGTAATTGCTAATGAGCATACTTTTCAATAAGGACAGCTTATTCTTAGTCCAAAGATCGCAGGTTTCTGGTTTCAAACCTAAATGGAGGGCTCCTATCACTTGTGATGGAACAGACTTCTTTATAATACAAATTAGTCAAGAAATTTCTTCTCAACATGCAGTATTGCTCTTAGTTAACTGTCTGTACTATATGAAGTAGGTGACCATACAATTCACTATACTCAGTGCACTAGATTAACCACTGAGATGTTCCAAGTCTCTTTAATAATGAAATTTATTTAACTCTGCAGCTTAGTTCATAACACTTTTTCACTTTTCGTTTCTGAATTCATTCAATATTTTTATGTTGGTTTGGACATCCAGCTCAGAATTGAACACAACGTTAGTGCAAATATAAAGAAAAGCTAAACGGATTCCTGCTTTTTGAAAGGATTTATTTTATATGTAGTCTACTGAATTGTTTTTGAAAAATTCTTCATAGGGGAAATATCAATTGCCAACTCATCATTGTTTGTATGGTACTTTATCTTAGTTTCCTAATAATTCTTGATGATTGCCAGTTTACATTTGATTTCACATTTTTATTTTTTTTGCTTTGTTCACTACTTATGTAAAGAATAAATCTTCATTAATTGCATATCTTTTTTTGTTGATGATTATGAATATGACCTCAGTAGTTATACTACCAGATTCACTAGAAAAGCACCATCACGAACAAGCTCAGAACACAAATATAGCACTTGATTTTCATCCTTAAAGTCTTTCCTTCTACCTGCAGGCCAAACCCATCTTCTTAATAAGAAAGGATCAATCAAAAAACTGCACTATACCTCAGTGAGGAGAGGGAAACAATGAAGCAGGAAGACAATTCCACCAATACTCTCCCCATTTTAAAAATTGCTGGTAGAAAAAGACACCTTACGAGAACAAACCAAAGTTTAGCCCAGGCAGCGAGAAGGCTATCACCACCTGCTGGGAGACAAAGCGCACTGGTGCACTCAGAGGCATTTGCCTTCGTATACTGATGATGCCACAACATTATGCCTCATTTCCTGTTTCCATCTGCTGGACAGAAACCACTTTACTCAACAGGTGAATTGGTCTACTTGGGCATAAAAGAAGTAGCTATCAGCAGCACTTTCAGACTAACAAAAATCTGTATAGTTGTTCTTTTAAGCACTGTTTCGTGCTACCTGACAATCTAACAGTATGTCTAAATAATTTATTTTTATTTGCCAGGATATTGCCAGGAGTAAAAATATGTTATATTTATTTCTTAAAAAGAATGTCCTTTAAGGAAAAAAACAGACGTAAGCTAACCAAAACATAAATGTATCACACATTTAGTACTCCAATACCTGAGGTTACGTAGAGGCCAAGAACTAAACCACTGCTGTGTGTTTCCAAAAAGACAGCACAAATTAAATGGGACATATATTTACACAATTCTATAATATTTTTAAGGCTACACACTTTGAAGTGGGAAGAAAAAAAGCCAACTGTAACAGTTTTGCTGCTTCTTTATTTAAAAAGATTACTGATAATTAGATTCAAAACATGACTGGATTTACCCTATCCATTCTTCCTGTTGAGTTGTACACAGCTTTTGCACCTTCCAACAGTAAGATTTGGATTTCATAAACCGATATGAACTGAACTAATATGCAAACCCCCAGATTTGATTTAAAAGCAAAAATTAACACTTTTTATTCCACTGGACTGAGGGGACCGTGACTTGAAACTGCTGACATGCAAAGACACAGATTGATGAAATTCTTTTCAGTAAGAAAGATGAAGTACCTAAACTGATACTAGACAAAGTGTCAAAAATGTTTTCTTTTTCTTTTCTAAAAGCACCGATGCCATTCAAGCTGTATAGCCCCCGATATTTACATACTCTTGGTTTTGTGGCCCAGCTCTCACACCTTTCTTAAAGCAGTGGCCATAGCTGGGCAGAGCACATCAACAGCAGCTTTAATAATGCCAAGCAGAATAATTATCCCCATGTCTTACCTAACAC